GGTCGGGCTAGGGTGGGGTGGGGTTAAAAAAAAAATTGAAACTGAAAATAATTTTTAAAACCAAACTTTAAATTTTTTTTGGGGAGGGAGGGGTGCTGGGCTGTAGGGTGCTGGTTGGGGTAAAAAAATAAAAATTGAAAATTGAAAATATCTTCTTTTTTTTTTGGTGAGGCGGGGGAGGGGCTGGTAAGGGTTGAGGTAGGTGTGGATTAAAGAAAATGAAAATTTGAATTATTATTTTTTTCAAAAATAAACTTACATTTTTTGTGGGGGGCTGGGGTAGGGGTAGTCTGGGGTTTTGAAATTTGAACTACTTTTTCAAAATAAAATTTTAAGTTGTTAATTTTATTTTTTTGTTGGGGGGGATAGAGACAAAATAAATTGATTTTTTTTTAAAAAATTAATATTTTTTTGAATGGGGAGGGTCGAGGTACGGGGTGGAGTAGGAAAAAAATTGTAATTTGAGGTTGGAGGAGAGTTTTGAAAAATGTTTTCCTTACTTTTGAAGGGAAGTTATTTTCTTAAATTTGAGTGAAATAAATTGATTTGAAAAACATTCTTCAAAACATTTAAGCCACCCAACTATGAGAAAATTGGAAAACATTTCGTACCAAACACACCCTTAAAGTTGCTTACTTTTCCTCTTCTGTTACATGTCCGTTTGATTTTTCTATTATTGCACTTGAGATATACATCCATTATTGTTTTTACTAAACATAGTTAGGCAAACAATCCTCATTATGGGTTGTATCTACTATAACATGTTGGTTTAAGTCATATGCGGCCCCTTAAAGTTGTCCGTATATTTCACTTAGACACCTCAATTTATGCTTATACCTATTGAACACCTTATATGTTCAAAAATGATTCCTATTAGACACAAAATGATGATCTGGCAAAAAAAGTGTATTACACACTCTTTAAGCGCGTACTGACATTAAAATTAACATTTTTTCTTTTCCTTTTCCACTTATACACTTAAATTAATAGATAATATAATAATAATAATTAATAAACAAAAAAAAAATCTTGTGCAAGATGCAACTGTTCATCATCTCTCTCACCCTCTTCAATTCTTCTCGTGTTTTTT